GCCTTCGATTACGGTAACTTGAATAAAGGTTTTTGAAATAACAAGTGTTGGTCATTCTTGCGATACACCTCTTTTCAGTGTCTTTCCTACGTTACAACGTTAAAACAAAAAAAAATTTCATTCTTATAGGAATATATTTTTACGACTTTTTTGAATTTTTTTCCACTCTTACTGATATTTACAATAATAATAAAACTTATTGTATAGTGAATTCCTTTGATATCAATTTTTTTGAAGCTGTCGCTTTATTCATGAAATTTTTGGAAAATTTAATACGATATTGAGATTCTAAATATATATCATCTGAAGGACCTAGAATCACTTCTCCGCAATCTGTCGTATTAAATATATAGCACATTTGTAAAAGTTGTTTTTTGGCTACTGTAACTAGTAAATTTTTAGTACCACTCGTACTAAGAGCATTTGACTTTATAAATCTATGATATGCTTCGAACCTCATACACCAAAAGTGAATAAATGGTCCATTAAGAAGGAGAATTTGAGCGTAATGAGTAAGGAGATGGAATTTGGGTTTTACAGGACCCAGTAATCGTTGATACTCAGAATTTAAGTCTGCTACTAGGTTTTCGAAATATCTAAAGTCCGATTCAATGCATCGAGGAGACATGGTGAAATCTACAATTTCTCGAAGATGTGTAAAAAGTTTCCAGTACTCATCATCATACGGAACATAGCTACCTATTATAAATCCTAAATTGCAGACAATATTTATTGTCTCTGCACAAGACATTTTTAAAATTAACTCTCCTTTCACTCTACTCTTAGTTATATCAGGGAGCACGTTAGCGTTATCATCAAAAGCAAAGTTTTGAAAACGACTGTTCAACTCTTCCAATAAAAAATACTTTTTTGTGTAAATAAAATGAAATAAAACGGCTTGGAGTACATATTGACAAATACCTTTGAAAAGGTCATGCATCAAATCAATACTAATATTCTCGGATACATGAAAGCCATTTACGTCATTAAATATGCACTCATCTTTAATTGCAGTTTCAATACTGTCACGCTCACGTAAGTCTTTATCGTAATTACCTACGTTTCTTAAACTTGTAAAATCTTTTTTTATAGCTTTAGCACAGTCAACTGCTGTGAGTTTACATATGCGACACCAAGACTTAGCCTTGAAAGACTCGACAAATCCCAAAATATTATGGAGTCCTAAGTTATCACCAAGCACTAGTACTAATCGAAACTTGACTTGTTTTTTTGTTCCCTCTACATGTATTACGATTCCCTCTTCGTTTAGAAAATTTAGTTCGTATATAAGTTTCTGAAAAACAGCTTTATTGCTACCTTTTTTTTATCCTCTGTACGTACTAATCCACAAAATAAAATACTTTTTAAGCGAGATGCAATATGTTCAGGAAAGCAAGCGATAAAGGTATTTATACCCCCCAATTTATTCAACCCAAAATGAGTACCCAATGGGTTAGTAACTTCCAGTTCATCATAATACATGTAGAGAGGTAAAACGAGTTCCTTAGTTTTAGTAGCATACTTATGAGTCCATACCTTAGCTTGGGTATAATGTTAGAAATTATTATTGAGTCTTTTCGTAATTCAGTTAAATAGCTTACAATTTGGTTAAACATTTTTGGTAGGTCCAAAAAAAGCTTTTCAGTGAAAAATTTATAGCTATAATTATACCTATAAATTATAGCTATAATTATAGCTATAACTACCTATAAAACAGCTATAATAATGTATGAAGTTCAGCTATAAATATAGCTATAAATTACAGCTGTAATCTTTTCACAAGTTTTGAATAAAAATTAGTTTATAATCAGATTTTTTTAACATATATCGATCAGTATAGACGGTATCATCCGCGTGATAACAGTAAAACTGGGGGCCTGAAGTATTTTTGAAAAAAAGTAGAAAAAAAAAACAAGAAATCATATACAATTTCAAGTTTTTTAAAAATTGTTTAAAAATACTTTAGGCCCTCAGTTTTACTGTTATCACGCGGATGATACCGTCTATACTGATCGATATATGTTAAAAAAATCTGATTATAAACTAATTTTTATTCAAAACTTGTGAAAAATTTACAGCTGTAGTTTATAGCTATATTTATAGCTGTTTTTTATACATTATTATAGCTGTTTTATAGGTAATTATAGCTATAATTATAGCTACAAATCATAGGCATATTAATAGCTATAAATTTTTGACTGAGTTCAAAGACTTCGTTAACGGAACATGAATAGCATACAAATGTTTTCGAAACGAATTTTAGTATATTTCCAGTAATCAATTCAGTAAAACTATTGCCAATAGAGTACTTATAGTGAAGGAGACCATAATTTTTCAAAATAGAAAACCTTTTATTTTCTGTGTTGATCTTCTCAAAAATCACAGCATAAGAATTAAAACAACTTTCTATTTTTATCAAGGCTGTGTCTTTGTCATTATCTTTAATTATTTGCATTATTTCATGTTGCAATGATGGTATGAAAGCATCTCGGATAAAATTGTGAATATGATTTATGACCTATTGAACAAGTTTTCTCGGTTAGTACGGATCAGCGTATAGTTCAAATATGAACGTTAAGATGAATTTCAAAAGTATCTTTTGATCCATTTTATTAAATTATTGACAAGCTTAAACTTGTTACTTAAAATAATTTTGCCTAGCAAATTTTCTGGGGAATTCAAGTAGTGGTACAGTCCGTTATGTGCATACAAGTTTTCTATACCTATACAAAAAAAACAAAAATTAATAAGTTATTAAACTACAATCCAATTAATTAGTACACAAAATTCAAGGATCACACGGTAGAAATAGTATGTTAAACCAAGTATAAAAATACAATACTTTTGTTAATGAAAATAACATATGATTTTTCAGAGCCATTCTTTTATTTTAATTAGAATATGTAAAATCTACTCAGAATTTTTATGAGACAGCAACTTCTTAAATTTGAATTAAAAAAATTTTTATGAAGTAAAATAAAATTATTCGTATGTGACATGATCTAGGTCATTACTTAAGTTTGTAGGGCTTTTTTCAAGTGTTTGAATCTATGCTCTCGTTATTTGCATCAACTGGTCGAGACTCTTCAACTACTCCCATCACTTTACCTGATTCATCCTGTCTCATATTTTCATGAGTAGTCTCAAAATAATGAGATTCATCTATTTCCATGCCATTACTAGCCATATTCATTTTCATAAAATGTACTAAGAATATTAGTATTTTTCCAACACGGTTCTATTTTAATAAGAACTTTAAGATTTCATTAGGAACAAGCAATGGCATCTTTGTATTCGCATATTTTTACTGCCTTCACATGCGTACCTGTGCAATAAATATTTATTTATACACGTGTGAAGCACAATCAAACAAAATCGAAAATGTTTCAAGTGAAGAAGCGTAAATATATACGATCGAACTGATGTGCTATGATGCTCATGCATAACAATCAGACATAACCAAAGAAAAATTAATCACTCGTCTTTTTACCTCTAATTTGGACATAATGTTTTGAACTGCACTTACCTTAACACTAAATTCGAAAAAAGATAAACGATATGGAAATAGATGTACTTTTCAACAAAAAACACGCATGTAACGGTTCGTCAACACTGTCGTGCGGTCTGCATGCAGAGTGCCTTAAACGAGCGAGCTGCGTGATTACAGGTCACGGGCGCGTCATCGTCTGCTTTGGTTGGGACGCTGCGCGCCCGACATTCGATCACGCTGTCCGCCCAGCGTGTTGGGCGCGCCACGCGCCCACAGCTGACGAGCTGCTCGCTCAAAACGGGACCCCCTCTCCCCCAGCCCAAGAAAGTATTAAAAAGAAAAGAAAAAAATTCAGTTAGAAAGAACAAAAAATGCACCCTCTGATTACACAGTTTGTTTAAATTGAACCCTCATAAATTTTGTAGAAAAAAATTATTACCAGTTACCAAGTTGTCTTGTTTTAAACCTCCGATATCTTTGGAAAACACTTCTTTTTCGATACAACGTTGGCTTATAAAAAATGAACCTTTTCTAATTTAAATTGAGCTTATCTTACATTTGCAAATATTAGCTTAGTTTTTTTATTAACAATTAATACATAATACTGGTCTAAAAGCTAACCTCATCTCTATCATGTTTATCAACTGCGCATGCGCTCTGGGGGCTTGTGTGCAGTTGATATACATGATAGAGATGAGGTTAGCTTTTAGACCAGTATTATGTATTAATTGTTAATAAAAAAACTAAGCTAATATTTGCAAATGTAAGATAAGCTCAATTCAAATCAGAAAAGGTTCATTTTTTATAAGCCAACGTTGTATCGAAAAAGAAGTGTTTTCCAAAGATATCGGAGGTTTAAAACAAGACAACTTGGTAACTGTTAATAATTTTTTTCTACAAAATTTATGAGGGTTCAATTTAAACAAACTGTGTAATCAGAGGTTGCATTTTTTGTTCTTTCTAACTGAATTTTTTTTTTTTTTCTTTTTAATACTTTCTTGGGCTGGGGGAGTGGGGGTCAAAACGGGCAGGCTGCGGTACTGCAGGTGACGGTGTTCTGCGTTCTGTCGATTGTTTCTTAGGGGGCACTGTGTGCCCAACATTTTTCCAGTGTACCTATTGTATTGGCGACATTTGGCGATTTGAGCACCGGTAATAATGACATCAAACTCTGATCTTAGCCAGCTTGACCTTCGGATCAATCGGATCTTTTTTGTTGGGCAGTCGCCATGTCGCCAGTCATCGGCCATCATGATAAGTATCCCGCAGTCAGGCCGATTAGTAATGTTTAGGAGCAGAACAACGTTTTTTCTGAGGGTGATTTTACAAATATATTTTCGTAGAGAACTAAAAATACTATGCTAGTTTTCAGGAAAAATATGGTTATGGAGTTATAGTATAACCTATAACAAGGTTAAAACAAATTTTTTTGACAACTAATAAATTTTATTGAATTCATTATTTTATTTACAACATACAATACGATAGCAAATAGCCCATTGTCCTGAAAAATAAAACTTTCTAATAATTGTATAGTCATTACTACTGAGCTCAATGACTTGTTGCAACATTACCAAAGAGATGAATTGTCTTAAATGCGGTTATTTTATCAACATATGATGCAAAAAAAAATCAACTGGAGAACTATAGTTTTGAGTATGTTTTTTCAAATTAACTGTAATTTCGATGTTTGTATGCAATAAAACAACTTTGACATATGCCAATTTTTTTTAGATCTAATGATAGAGTATTTGATTTTGGTAATAGAATTGGATAATTTGGAGAAAGTTCAAGACTACATATATGGAAGTAATCTAAATTATTTGTTTTCTTTTCAACACAATTAGTTATCATCAAGTCTTGAGAAAAGTTTGTTTCTTGTACCACTAAGCTGTTTAGATGATTACAAAGTATACAATACCTTGTTAGTAATGATGTGACACAGTATTTATCAAGCTTACTACTAAATTTACATATATTTGAAATAGTAAGTTTTGAATCATTTTGGAGACTGCACAAGAAGTTTTTAGTAAACCTTTGCAAAGCTTTTTTGCAATTATTTATGGGAGAAAGTTTGTCATGTTTAAAATCTAAAAAGCTTATACACTTTAAATAAGTAATGATATCTCTAATAGTGAAACAGTGTAAGGGATAACATAATTTAATACTAACATTTTTCAGCCACGGTATACATACTTTAAAATTATTAACAGCTTGTCCTAGAACAAGATTATTAAGTAGTGATGAAGCTGAATCGCTATGTAAATCATAATAAAGAATTATATCACATTTTAATAACTTTGCTACAAAAACAGACACTTTTATAATTAGGCTCCTGTAAAAACATAACTTAACTGATGGATCTTGGATTTTCTTCAAAAAAATTTGAAATAGTGTACTGTTTTTCAAGCTTTGAACCATATAAGAATAAACAGAACAAAGTAGTATTCTTTCACTAACAAAATAATCATCAAGAGATGTGCAATAAGTTTGAAGATGAAATTGTTTCGATTCTTCCCTGATTATTCGTAGAATATTTGGTTCGTATATAGGTACAGCATCTTCAGAAGTTACGGTCTCTACAAAGAAATTTTCAAAACTTGAGAAGTTATGATGCATAGTAATATATTGACAACAAATGCGTACCTACCATCTATGTACAAAAAGTAAATCTTATGGCAGGTAATTTCTTGACTGCAACACAGTTTCGATTTCATTAAGTGAAAAAGTGCTAAGGACTTAATGGAATTTGTCAAAATAACTAGTGTACTTTCATTGTTCAGAGAAACGTTATTCTTACTCAAGAAACGATCATGGGTTAATAGCATTTTATTAATTACACAATTACGACAAATTTTAGCACTCAGAAGCATAATTTTTTTCTTGGTTTTAAACGTTCAAAAATAGTAATAATATTACAAACTAACTTAGATGATAATTACAACTCTCCTAACAGACTCAAAATTGAAAAATATTCATAGACATGTATGACGAACCATAGACATTTAAAAAATAGACTGCTCGTTCTTTTGTACGGCGCTGAACTCTGAAGTACAAGTAGAAAGATACACAAAATCGAACGTGTAAATCTACTGTCTCTCTCGCATGTTACCAACAATGGGGAGGTTGCACGTTGCATCAGTCTCAATGTCTGATCGGGGCATTCAATATCTCGCTTAAATAAGCAGTTTCTTCGATAATCCCTATAAAATACCCATTATGTAAAAATGTTACGTGTGGCGTTCCGAGGTTTCATTTTCGTACCATTCTGCGCCTTCCATCACGACGCCATATTTAAGGGAGATGTGACTACTACAGCGCTAAAGAGCCTAGACAATAAAACGAAGTGGCCAAAGTTAAAACTAAAACCTATCCCCCGCATCCGAAGTAAGACATATATATAGATATAGACATACGTATGAATATACATGTACGTCAATTAATGAATGATTACCTATTTAGTCAATTTTTCTGAGTGAACATTCACGAATAATACGTTTGGTCACTGAAACAACTCGAATAATATTAATATAAAAAATATATGTTGTTTCACGAGTTTCTTGATGTTAATTTGCTTAATATTTTAAAAGCTTTTGAAATTCGGAGACAGACATGGCGGCACGATGGAAACGTTCTTGATTAGTCAATCAAAATGGATGAGCAACGCCACACCTTATATTCTTACATCATGTAAAATAACCAAAAATAACGATAATGCGCATGCGTAATTTAGGGATTATCCCGATTATCAAAAAAACTGCTTACTAAAGCGAAATATCGATGCCCCAATCAGACCCCACCTAGGGGCTTCATCACGTCTTTTGATTTGTCGCAAAAGTCAGTATTTTTTTCGATAATTTAAGTAAGATTATGGTTAAGTGCATGCGCAGTCAAAGAATTGTCAAAAAAAAATACTGACTTTTGCGAGATATCGAAAGTCGTGATAGAGATAGAGCTCCAGCTGGCCTTAGCCCTTAGCTTATGTTCACATGGAGCGCAATAAAGCAAGCAGGTTAGGAAGACTTAACACAGCCGCTTATGGAGAGATTCCTATCCTAAATCCTAATCGATCTATTGCACTCCATGTAACTGCGGCCTTAGTTACTGACCTCCTCCGTAGGCAACGTTCGAAAAAGACAGATATACACGTTCAGTGTTGTGTTTCTTTCTACTTGTACTTCAGCACCATCATGCGTACGAACGAGCAGTCTATTTCTTACACGTCTATGAGACGAACAGTTCCAAATCTCAGATTTCTGTAAGGGTGCGCTCACACGCAGTCTTAGGTTGCAGTCACATGGAGCGCGATAGAGCATACAGAATAGAATTGACCCCATAAGATGTGTTAACTCTATCCTGCTGCGCAATAAGTCTATGCAGTAGCAGGATAGACTTAACACATTAGCTTATGGTAACAATTCTATTATTAGGAATCAATTCCGTTCCCAGCATTTCCACAAAAACAGCAGTAGCGCCATCTGGCGAGTAAATATGAAACTAATGCAACAAAAATGGTGATAAAGATTTCTGACACTTCTGAATCTGAAAGCGAATTTTATATGTATGAGGAACAAACCGGACCTGATCTACCGCAAACCTCAAGACTCAATTAATCGACCTGTTCCATCCTGTTAAAGCTCGCCTCCAGAATACTAACGGATTGGCTTTTGGCAAGCCTAAACCAGTCCAAACCGTGACGGACCGACTGCTCAAGGCCAGCCAAGGGACAAGGCACGCCATCTACACCTGCGTGCTCCGTGCCCGAGGCTCAGGTCATATTGTCATAACACTATCATGGGTGTAATCCGCAATCGCCGCCAGCAGTTACATATGTAAGACGTGACAACGTTGCGTGGTTGGGAGCGCTACTATCGATTTACTGATGATGTGATCCGCAATCCCGCCAGCAGTAAACCAGACGACGTCAGTCTACTTGCTCGTTTTTGTGACATTTTCTGAATGTAAACAAAGCATATTGTGCTAGACGTAAACAGACACGCAGACCAAAAAAAATAGTTTCAAGTGCCAAAGACAAAAATGGAAGTAACAGCTTTACTGCTGGAGGGATTGCGCGGGATCACAACAAAAATGTCACGAAAAAGACCAAGTAGACTGACGTCATCTGCTTTACTGCTGGCGGGATTGCGAATCACATCACCAGTAAATCGACAGTAGCACCCCCAACCACGCAACGTTGTCACGTCTTACATATGTAACTGCTGGCGGCGATTGCGGATTACACCCTATGCACGCTCTACTCTATTGCGCTCCATCGCTCCATGTGAGTCAACCATCTCCTTCTTTTACCGTATCGCTGTATTCAGCCTCTAGCGCACTCTATCCTTATATCTCTATGATTACGACCGTACACAAGTGTATATTCGTGAATTTGTAACTTCAATTAAATTAGTAAGTTAGCTTAGTTAGCGCTAACCTCGCGCTACGTTTCATATTCCAAAAATTTAATGTTGGTGTTGGCCCGACCGTGGCAACCTACCTTGGCCAGAGTTGGTTAAATATATTGATTTTTGGATTCATACGGTATAAAACATTTCTGACGCTTCCGACATCCGATTTAGAGTAAGCTATATATATATATATATATAGCTAGAGCGCTCTCGAGAGCCGACAGACTACCAACTATATATATATATATATATAGCTAGAGCGCTCTCGAGAGCCGACAGACTACCAACTGGCGGAAAATTCAAATATGTCGCACCGTAGAACAACTTCTTTTAATATCAAGATTTATAATTTAAAATAGATATTGAAGAAAAGCTAACACATGAGTTATTACAAAAGGACCTGAAACTTATTATTTTTTAAATGAACTTCGAAAATGTGTTTTTACGTTATGCAATCATCTGCTCTACGTGATTGAAGTCTATTGAAGTTTATTGTGTGGGAGCGCGCCGTGGCTCGGTCGGCTAGGTCGTAGATTGGCACGCGGGAGACCGTGGTTCGATTCCCGGCCAGTGTGACTTTTTCGGGCAAGTACCTCTGTGATTTTTCACATGTTCTTTTTCACCACGCAATGTTCCTCGAGGAGGGTTTAGGCGACCTCCTCGCAGCATAATTGCCTAATTCCCCCTACCTCCCTCCCAGTACTGGGAGGCCTCCCATCCCTCTTCCCTTCCTTCTCCAAAGTGCTAAGTGCCCATAGTAGTGCCCTTATTAAAGGAGCCGGACGTAGAGCACTATAATATAAAAAAAAAAGTATATTGTGTAAGTTGTGTAATAAACTAGTTGAGTACTGCCTACCTTTTTCCTTGTGCCTTACTTATTGCGCGACCATCTTGTCCTCTCAAAATACATTACAGTGGCGACGAGGCAAATCGGAAACGCGTGTGATAGTGTAACCGGCCTAATAATAATAATATAAAAAAAAAAAAATTAAAAAAAGACAATTTTTAACGGAAAACTTATTGAAAGCCTCTCACCCGAGGAGTGGAAGTACCTAACACGATAGTCAGAGGTACCATCGGGAATGTTAGTGAGTTTGTGGCGGACGATGATTGGGGACTATGGTATGAACAGTTCGAACAGTACTGTGAAATCAATGAGGTTCCTGTGGCCAAGCGTGTGCCGTTGTTCGTGACACTCCTTGGAAAAGAGGCGTACGGCCTGCTGCGGAATTTGTGCTCGCCAGCGTTGCCGAAGGCACTGCCACTGGGTGAATTGGCGCGCGTAATGAAGGAACATTTGCAGCCCACCCCGTGTGTCTTGGTCGAATGCTACAAATTTAAGGAGTACCGCCAGAGGCTGGAGGAAAACCTCAAGTCATTCGTGGCCGGGTTAAAGAAGTTATCAACCCATTGTGATTTTGGGCAGCAGCTAGAGGATAATCTGCGAGACCAACTCGTGTGGGGCCTGTCCAGCGATACCATCAAGAGAAGATTGTTGGGTGAAAGAAGCTTGACCTTCGTCAGAGCGTGTGATATTGCGGCGTCCATGGAGGCCGCATGCCGAGATGCAGCAGTGATGCAGTCGGGGTCGGGGAGTGATGCGCTGAATTACGTCAGGGACAAGGGGGGCAGGAGTATGAGTGTGCGAAATGATGAGCCGAGTGGAGCGGTTGTGTGTTTTTGTTGTGGTAGGGTCGGTCATTGCAAGCCGGAGTGCCGATTCAGAGAATACAAATGTAAAAAGTGTGGCAAAGTGGGACATTTACAAGTGGTCTGTAGGCGTAAGGACAGGGTGAGAGCAAGTAAACAAAACAGAGAGCGTGCGCGCCGTGTGAGCGAGCGGCAAAACTTTGTAGAGGACGCAGAGCCGCTTGTCAAGAGTATCGAGTTGCTGTTTTGTGTGCGTGGCGACGGCGAGGTGCGTGAGAGTGTTAAGGCGTTGTGTGTGTCGATAGTAGTAGAGGGTGCCCCTGTTTGTTTTGTAATTGATTCGGGTTCACCGGTTTCGGCCGTTTCCGAGAAGCGATATAGAGAACAAAAAGAGTTGCGTAGGCTTCCGTTGGTTAAAACGTCGCGCGTTTTTAAAACGTATCATAAACAATGTTTAATTCCGTTGGGAATTTTAAAAGTACATGTTAAATACTTGAATATGGCTGTCGAGCTAGAACTGTTTGTTATGCCGGGGGAAACCGAGACACCGATCGTAGGTCGTGAGTGGCTCCGTGTATTAAAAATAATCCGAGATGGTCCAGACGGCGTAATTAGCTTAAATGTTAATGCTTTAAAAGAATACGACAGTATTGAAAATCAGTTGGTACATAAGTACGAAGCGGTTTTTTCGGAAAAGATCAGATTGTATACGGGGGGAAGATTTACGTTACATGTCAGGCCGGACGCGACACCTGTATTTTTTAAGGTGAGACCGGTGCCGTTTGCCATGCGAGATAGAGTAGAGTGCGAAATTCGCAGGTTGGAGGCCGAACGAATCATCGAGCCTGTGCAAAGGAGTGAGTGGGCCACGCCGATTCTGCCCGTACTTAAATCTAACGGGCAAATTCGTTTATGTGGTGACTATAAGGTCTCTCTTAACCCTAAATTAATAATAGATAAATACCCCATCCCGAGGATTTCGGATCTTGTTTTACAGTTGGAGGGGGGTAAGTACTTTTCAAAGATAGACTTGGCCCACGAATACTAGCAGATAGAGCTCGATGATTCGTCAAAAAACCTCACGACGATAACCACGCACAAGGGCCTATATCAATACAACAGACTCCCGTATGGCGTTGCGTCGGCCCCCAGGCTATTCCAAAGAGAGATGGAAAAAGTATTGAATAACTTTCCAGGAGTGGCCTTATATTTTGATGACGTTTTTGTGTCGGGTAAGACGCGCGATGAACATGATGCGAGATTTCGGGCGGTACTGCAGCGTTTTTTAGAGTGTGGGTTGACAGTAAAGGTAGGGAAATGCGAGTTTGCGCAGCGTCAGATTAAGTTTTTAGGATATTTGTTGGACGAGTGCGGTTTGCGCGTGGACCCCGAAAAAATTAATGCGATAGTTAAGATGAAGCGGCCCTCAAATGTAAAGGAGCTGCAGTCGTTTATCGGAGCACTTACATATAACGCGAAGTTCATTCGTGATTTCGCAACCATGATGGGCCCGCTGTATGCGTTATTAAAGAAGGACGAGGAGTGGCATTGGACCCCGGACCAGGAGAGAGCTTTTCAGAGTGCAAAAAATAGTTTGATCTCGCACGATGTTTTAATGCACTATAACTCAGAATTGCCGGTCAAGGTGACGTGCAACGCCTCACCGTATGGACTGGGGGCAGTGCTGTTCCACGTCTTACCATCGGGCGAGTGCAAGCCGGTCGCATACGCGTCGTGTACGTTGAGTCAAGCAGAGCGAAACTATTCACAGCTGGATCGGGAAGCGCTGGCTTTGGTTTTTGGGGTGAGATCGTTTCACTAGTTTTGTGTACGGTCGAAATTTTATACTTGAGACCGACCATAAGCCGCTTTCATATATTTTCGGCAAAAAGAAGGGCATATCAGTGATGGCGGCCAGTAGAGTGCAACGCTGGGCTGTTTTCTTGTCGGGATATAACTTCGATGTTAAATACATTAAAGGGGCAGAAAACGGTCCGGCGGGCGCACTGTCGCGAGTCGTAATGAATTTTATTGTTTCGCGTGTTACGGATAACGAAGAGTATAGTTATTTAAATTTTGTACAGGATGAGTTTAAATGCATGGATGTAGGCGTTTTTCAACGCGAGACAGCGCACGATGTGATTTTAAGGCAGGTGCGACAATACCTTATACAAGGTTGGCCCAAAAAAGTGGTGGGGGGCCTCGAGCCATACAAACATAGGCACCTTGAACTAACGAGCGAGAACGGCTGTATTTTCTGGGGACATCGAGTGGTTGTCCCAGCGGCGTTGAGGGGCGAGGTTCTCAGGGAGCTCCATAGCATTCACTGGGGCATTGTAAGGATGAAGGCGCTGGCTCGGTCGTACGTCTGGTGGCCTCGATTAGATGAGGATATAGAGAGTACAGTAAAGTCGTGTGAGTTATGCCTCAGATACAGTATAATGACCCACCACGTGCAACTTTGCACGTCTGGAAGTGGCCAGACGTACGGACTCAGCGCATTCATGTCGACTTTTGCGGCCCCATCGACGGGTGCATGTACATTGTTATTATAGATGCGTATTCAAAGTGGGTAGATGTACGGGAGTTAAGTTATGTTACGGCAGCGACTACTATCCGAGTGCTTAAGGAGTATTTCGCTGTTTGGGGATTACCGGAGGTGGTGGTGAGTGATAATGGCCCAACGCTTACATCAGACGAATTTCACTCTTTCTTAAGAAATAATAATGTTGAGCACATAAGGTCGGCACCGTACCATCCGGCCTCAAATGGTGCAGCGGAAAACGCGGTTAAAACGTTTAAGGAAAAATTTAAGTTACTCGTTAAAACGATGCCGCGTCATGATGCACTATGTAAATATCTATTCCACTATTGCGCCACCCCACATTGTACCACGGGCTGTTCACCGGCTCAACTCCAGCTCGGTCGAGAGCTCCGAACGCGGTTAGGGGCGATAGACGCGTCCGTTAGAGTTAAAGTAAAAAGGGGACAGGACAGACAGAGGCAATATTGTAAGGGTAGCCACGATCGACAATTTAATAAAGGCCAAATAGTCATGGCCAAGGATATTGTCGCGAATCAGTGGCAAAAGGCCGAGATAATTAACAGAAATGGTCAGGTGACTTATGATGTTAAATTGAGCAACAATCGAGTGTGGAAGCGACACATCGATCAATTGCGCACATGTCAAGAGACCTAACAGAGTTCACCTGAGCACGTTGGACGCGAACGCTCACCCATTGACACCCCGAGCGAACCCAAAGAAACAGTCCTCCGGCGGACAGTGGAGAGCACAGGGGGTGTGGAGGATTCGACGGTGGTGAGGAATAGTGTTGTCCCCAGAGTTGAGGAAGGGTTGCGTCGATCAGGTCGAACTCGAAAGGTTCCCGAGCGCCATAATTTGTAAGAGCCTTTTTGTTTCTTTTTTGTAAAGGGGGGAGGAGTGTTTTGTACGAGTGTTGGAGTATGTATTGGCAGTTGAGTGACGAAGCGTATATGTGTGTGTGTGTGTGTGTGTGTAACCACGCAGACGATATTGTAACTGCGTGGTCAGACGAGCGCGAGCCCCCATAGCGTGAACACCGCACCTCAGCGGACTGTATTATATTGTGTAAGTTGTGTAATAAATTAGTTGAGTACTGCCTACCTTTTCCTTGTGCCTTACTTATTGCGCGACCATCTTGTCCTCTCCAAATACATTACAAGACGTGACAACGTTGCGTGGTTGGGTGCGCTACTGTCGATTTACTGGTGATGTGATCCGCAATCCTGCTAGCAGTAAAGCAGACGACGTCAGTCTACTTGCTCTTTTTCGTAACTTTTTCTAGTTGTAAGCAAAGCATATTGTGCTAGACGTAAACAAACACGCAGACCAAAAAAAATAGTCTCAAGTGCCAAAAAGAAAAATGAAATTAACAGCTTTACTTACTGTTAGCGGGATTGCGCGGGATCACAGCAAAAATGTCACGCAAAAGAATAAGTAGACCGACGTTGTCTGCTTTACTGCTGGCGGGATTGCGGATCACATCATCAGTAAATCGACAGTAGCGCCCCCAACCACGCAACGTTGTCACGTTTTACATATATATGTAACTGCTGGCAGCGATTGCAAATTACACCCAATGTTTCTACGTTTTCTACGTTTCTTACAGTTTTCACGTTCTTAACAGTTTCTTACAAATCTGCAGTAGAATACTGAAAATTTTGAAGAAAATACATCCTTGGTACCTGGTAGCAGGGTGACCAGATCCGGCAATTTATGACCAGATTGGCGATTTTCAACCAACACTGGCGAAAAAATTTTTATATTTGGCGCCTGGCGATTTTTTTTGGCGATTTAAGTAAATTAAGCAAATATATGAACATAATTTTTATTTGCTAAGAGGCCAAGCCCTTACTCGAAGTTTTTCCCACAATCATGTAGGGATAGGGATGACTCCAGCGTTGGGTTAGGCGGATTCAATATCGGAACTTTTTCCCTAGATCGTATGTATAGCTAAACGATCTAGGAAAAATGTTCCATCGAGCAGACAGCACAGCAGTAAAGGGGCATTGCCAAAAACACGCGAAAATTAAAAATTGTAATATTAATAACACAAGTGCCTATCAGCCAATGACCCGGGGCGCTTACTGGCAACTCTGTTAAATAAATAATTATTAATAACACAAGCGCCTATCACCTAATGACCCGGGGTACTTACTAGCTACTATTGAATAATAAATTATCAAGTAATTACAAGAGCGCCAATTAAAAAGATCTTTGTCGTACTAGATAAGCAATCAAAATTGTGATATGTTTACATATGTTATCGATCAACTTTTTATTATTTAATAGTGTTGCAAATAAGTGTCCTGGATTATCAGGAAAAAGGTGCTTGACATATTTATTAATAATTATTTATTTACTAGATTTGCAATTAGCACCCCAGGTTATACGGTGATAGGCGCTTGTGTTATTTTAATAATTATTTAATTAACAGAGTGGCCAGTAAGCGCCCCGGGTTATTGGGTGATAGGCGCTTGTGTTATTTATTAATAATTATTTATTTAAAAGAGTGGCCAGTAAGCGGCCCGGGTCATTGGGTGATAGACGCTTATGTTATTGGACCTTATTTGAGTCTCGCGCCTCACCTTTGGTACTATTTTTTTTTGATCAAGTGATTTCCAACGTCAGAGAGGTTGGGTTCTAGAGAATTCCCAAATCTGGCCGAAACTTGCTCAGTTGCTCTTGCTCAGTTGCTCAGTTCCTCAGTTGCTCGCCGAGCGATGAAATATAGTTCCGGCCAGATTTGGGAATTCTCTACAACCCAACCTCTATGAAGTGGGAAATCACTAGATTAAAAAAAAAATAGTACCAAAGGTGAGGCGCGAGATTCAAATAAGGTCCAATAACATAAGCATCTATCACCCAATGACCCGGGCCGCTTACTGGCCACTCTTTTAAATATATAATTATTAGAATAACACAAGCGCCTATCACCGTATAACCTGGGGCGCTAATTGCAAATCTAGTAAATAAATAATTATTAATAAATATGTCAAGCACCTTTTTCCTGATAATCCAGGACACTTATTTGCAACACTATTAAATAATAAAAAGTTGATCGATAACATATGTAAACATATCACAATTTTGATTGCTTATCTAGTACGACAAAGATCTTTTTAATTGGCGCTCTTGTAATTACTTGATAATTTATTATTCAATAGTAGCTAGTAAGTACCCTGGGTCATTAGGTGATAGGCGCTTGTGTTATTAATAATTATTTATTTAACAGAGTTGCCAGTAAGCACGAGCAAGGGGATGTGCGCATGCGCGTTGGCTGCGGTTTAACTGAAATTATTGCGTAAAGCAGATTTGCATTAATAATTACCATCCAAGGTTTTTAAGCTATTATTTCGTTTGGGGGCGGCACGCGCAGCTTACGCGTAATCCTTTTATCTATAATACATAATTCGTTGTCATAATTAATCGATAGAAATCAGCCACTGAGTTTTGGGGGCAGCCTCCAAGTGTTTTTCCCTTATAACTCTTAAACAATTGCACGCGCAAAAAAGTTGTAGCGCAACTTTTTGCAGCATTTTCTACGCGCAATCGATACATTAAATTTGTTTTAGATTTTAACAGCTCTAGGGGCGAGCTCCATGACTGTAAGCTCAACGCTGCTGCTGGCAGCTGGCAACTTTCGGCGACCTTTAGGGTGCTCGTGGCGACATCAGCGGCAGATCATCTGGTCACTCTGCCTGGTAGCGTGGTAGCCAAGCTACTCTGCTTTCATTTTTGATCGGGAAAGGCCCTTAATGGCCGTTCGAACCTCTATTTTCAGACCACGCTGCTGTAGTGCTGTGTTAAAGCATCCTGACTCAACACACTACCACTAGAGTTATTCCATCGACAAGAAGTAGAATTGAGTTGACCTAAAAAGTTGCTAATGATTGATGTCTTTTTAGTATAATTATTTGGCCAAGTACAAGAAAAAGTAGTGGCCGAAGGCACCACGTGATTTAGTACAGTTTTAATTCCACTTTTCCGTGTTATCAAATATCAAGGTAATTGTAGTAACCATTTAACAATCGTGGTATTTTTAGTGTAACCAGGTAGGAAATTTGTCGAAATAAGTCCATGTTTAACGTGCGACCAGAATTCCGCTTTGTTATAATTTGCTAATTATACTCAAAATTTGTCAATTACTTTTTGTAAAACAATTGATCTTCCGAAATAATTTTGGGCAACCCAGTTATCATTAATAATGCTCATTGGATAATGGTTTCGTTCTAGCAACGTAACGAAACCACGTGCTCTGCTCTTGGCCGTTATATAACTATCTGGTTGATTAGGTATTTGGTAGCTAGTTTTGTCCGTGCCTAGTATTCATGATAGCTAGTTCCTTATAAATTATTAGATGAACACGGTGATTCCTTATTTCTTGTGTTTTTATATTAATTTATTGTATCAGTTAATATTTTTTTTTTTCTTCAGTTTTAAATTTAGTTTATTTTTGAGATGTATTACTTGACATCAATTATATTTGGTTTCTTTCAAAACATCGTATTTCAGATGCTGAGACTACCCAGAGTACTTCGTACTCTAGTGCAATACCAGCAGCAGCAATATTTCGTGCGGTGTAGCTATGCCAAAGACGTACGTTTTGGTGCTGAAGTAAGAGCTCTTATGCTGCAAGGAGTAGACATTTTAGCTGATGCTGTAGCTGTGACAATGGGCCCTAAAGGTCGTAACGTAATTTTGGAACAAAGCTGGGGAAGCCCAAAAATCACTAAAGATGGGGTAACTGTTGCCAAAGGTGTTGAGCTCAAAGATAAATTCCAGAATATAGGTGCAAAGCTCGTTCAAGATGTGGCTAATAACACAAATGAAGAAGCTGGAGACGGTACTACAACAGCAACAGTTCTTGCCAGGGCCATTGCCAAGGAAGGTTTTGAAAAAATCAGCAAGGGAGCTAATCCAATTGAAATTAGACGTGGTATTTTTTTTTCTAAGCATAATTACTTATTATTGTAATGGTATTCAATAATAATTACTTATTAATTTTAACTAGTAATAAGACTATTAGAGCTAGTAGTGAGACTCATTAGGCTAGATTTGATAAGAAAAAATTTCAACAGGATTATGAAAATAAGTCACATACAACAATAGTGTAACTGAATAAAATTAACAGACCAGTAGCTCTAAGCACTCCAGGTTACTCATAAGATACTACGATTCTGCAAAGCTGTTCTAATTATTTATGACTCTACCATTATTACTAGCTCAGATTTCGTTTCTAGATAGCCGAAACAAGCATTAACGTTAGTTTTCATGAGTCTAGAAAAAACATACAATTGAAATTTCTTCCTGCCATGAACTGAATTTTCTAATTTTGGACCGTTGCTGTGTCAACATAAAATTTACATGCTATGTGGTAATTTCTTAAGCAGACTTGTTTGCAGTTAAATTTGTAGATTAATGATACACACACATAGGCACTTTATTAAATTTTATTCCCACATAGTACACACTCTACAGCTGTAGTCGCGTAAATATGTTGTAAAAAAGTTTAACTTATGAACAGCTAACAACCGCGGTTCAAAGAAAACTAGGTGTGCTCACCTCATGAACTTATCATAAAAATGTCCATCAATAAGTAAAAGATAGACTACTTACAACAAGCAGGAGATCTGTTGCGTTAAAATCCATTTTAAAATAGAGAGACATTAAGGGCATATAATCAGTAAATACTTCTCTCCTGTACTCTTGAAGAGTGAGAGTAAGAATTTAGGAGACCTGTATGGGTGTACTTTGGGAACACTACCCACTGTGGGTTTTTTTAGCCCAAAGGTTATAAGAAAAAAGTACCAGTTCTAATTCTTACAGATATTAAAAAAACCTCACGGTTTGCCAAGGTCCAAAGTATTTTTTTCCTTGTATTTTGTTTCTACCATGAGTTTTGCTGGTACACTGAGTAAAGTGGTGTTAATAAAAGTATTATACCTACACTTCAAATTACTACATTTTTCAGAAAAGCTAAGACACTCACCTGATGGCGCAAACTAGTACATTAAAAATACTTTTTAGTATATTTAAAATACTTTTATTATGTAGCAGCATAAATTACAAACATTATTACACGGCACACTGAAAATTATTGTGTCTAACACAGTAAGATTTGTGGTGGTATAATTTTTGTTAAATTTAGTAAATTTTATTGTAATCATTTTAAAATGTCCCACATTCAAAAGTAGGATTTAATATGTGACATAGAAAAATTTCTCATTCAACTGCATTGCAATTCAGTATTGTAAAAATTATTATGTTCGAAAGCAATTTAGTACGATATCTACAGGTATGCACGCTTATTGAGTTTCAAATTTAAAGGTATATCAATGTTATTATGACAAAAAACATATTTTTTGATTTATAAGGGTTAAAAATTGATACGTGTAGACAATTTTGAATCGAATAGTTATACGTTAACCGTAGTCCACACGAAACCCCTTGATTTTAAACTTCATTTTATGTATTATAAACAGTGCACGTTTCCACGTGTAATTTAATGATTCTTGCGCAGACATTACTTATATTCCGTGGTCTAGTAGTTGCGAAGCCTGATTCGGAAGCAAAAGGACGGAGGTTCTCTTCCCAGTCACTGCAGATCTTTTTTAAAATTTATGAATATCTACATATATATGTATATATGTATATACATACATACTTACATAAGAATATCTAACTAATATATAAAGCAAAGTCGCTACAACCGTTGTAATCACTAACCGCGAAAACTACTGAACTGATTTTGCTGAAATTTTGCACACTGATTCATGATACTTCCTAAATTTTTGCACCTTATTATTTGATCAAATTAACTATATGGATTCCGAAAAGATATGTTTTTTTTGTTCTGAGATGTGTCAGGAATATGTGTAAAATTTCTAACTGAAAACGTTTCACATTACATGTCAACACACTACGGTGTTTTATTTAGTAAGTCACGGGCAAAGCCGAGACGGGAGGCTGCTAGTATATATATACTATACATATCTTAAGAGCACGCAGTGGCTAAGTCGGCTTGGTCGTGGGTCAGCACGTGGGAGATCGTGGTTCGATTCCCGGCCAGTGCGACTTTTTCGGGCAAGTACCTCTGTGAATTTTTACATGTGCTTCTTCACCACGCAATGCTCCTCGAGGAGGGTGTAGGCGTCCTTCTCGCAGCAAAAATTGCCTAATTTCCCCCTACCCCCCCTCCTGTAATGGGTGGCCTCCCATCCAAATTCGTGTCCCGAGCTCATGCTACTACAATAAACTAAAATTGAATGTTTAAATTGGGTGCAGTTGTGTTGAAAGTGTTGAACTTCCGTGAGAAAAACTTTCAAGCTCATACATTGACTCCTTAAAGAGATAAAGTCGGAAAGCCAGAGGTTTTTATTTCGGTGTTAGATGGAATTTAACGAAATCTCGGAAAAACTATAGATTTTTGTCCATATGATGATTCTTCAAAAAAGTTAGAACGAACCTGGTCAGGAAGATCCTTTTTGATTTTAAAATAACTTGAAGAACCAATTTTTTTTTCAGTTATCTCCCAAAATCTTGGAAATAAAGCATTTTATCAAAATAAGTTGAATACAAAAGTTGTTAAACTGATGATTATATGTAATGGGAAATTTTTTTTTCAACAGAATTGTAATAATTTTCAACTGAGAATTATGTATTCTCACCAAAACGTACTGAAAACATGCGGTAAAGTTGTAAATAGTTAAAAACAAAGAGATATAAAAAAATAAGGGAAGAAATCGTTTTTTATTGTTGTTGATATTTGGATATTAGATAGGTATTAGTATTGATAACAAAATGCACTAGGTCCGCTTTTTCAGAAGCAATATGATGACCTATTGCAAAATTGTTAATTTAACTAGAATTCGAGGCGTGCGCTGATGATTTTATACTGTTAAACGATTAAACTTTATATCTAAAAAAAAGTTACTTTGTGTTATTGACTGAATTACAGTTAAAAAAAAAAAATTAAACCGACTTAAGTTGAGTTTACATAAAGTCTGGAAGTCTACCAGACTGGCTTAAAGCTTGGCAGACTCCCACTTCCAGACTTCATTTAAACTCACCCTTAACTAACGTTAAACAAAATTAGTTTTAATGTTATCTTTTGAAGCTTATAAGTAGATCAAAATTTACCTACGTTATCTTAAAAATATTAAATGAAGTTTATCCATGTAGGCTTGAAGACAAAACTGTGTTTATAATTAATTTATAGCTAGCTATATTGTGATAATTTGCGTCAGGTTTATGCAAGTGCAAGAAAAATGGTAACAATAGGCTGCGTACTGTGTGCAGCGTTGGGTGAAGAGGATTCCCACAGTGAAAATTACGGTCAGTAACATAAAAGTTACTGTCACTAACATACCAATCTAAAGAGTGTTGGAGAAGCGAATAGGCAGAGAAGGAGGGGGCATTCCAGAGGTTCTCACCAGTGCTCCCAAATGTGACTGGCAAACATGTGAGAAATAACACAAGCGCCAATCCCCACACAACCCGGTGCGCTTACTGGCCGCTTTGTTTATTAATTAAATGAATACAATACCACAAGCGCCAATCCCCACACAACCCAGAGCGCTTACTGGTCCCTTTATGTTTTTAAAATAAATATAATGATAACACAAGCGCCAATCCCCACACAACCCGTAACGCTTACTGATCCCTTTATTTATTTAAAATAAATTAATTAACGTAAGCGCCAATCCCCACACAACCCGGAGCGCTTACTGGTCCCTTTATTT